AATTGAATGACACCGAAGGTAGCAGACGTCTAAAAATTTTTGATTTTTTTTTTTTTAATTAAATTACAACTAAAAAGATATTTTTAAAAAATTGCATTTATAGTTTTTCAAGTTTTTAACATGTGATATTTTTTTTTTTAATTATTTAATTGAAATTTTTTGGATAAAAAAATTTCTAAAAATTTTGAAATGCCAGCTAATTTCATTTTCATAAAATTGATGATATTAAAGTTAGCCGACATTAAACAATTTTTGATTTTTTTTTTTTAATTAAATTGAGACTAAAATAATATTTTTAAAAAATTGCACGTGTAATTTTTCAAACTTTCAGTATGTGAAATTTTTTCTTTTAATTTTTTTAAAAATCATTTTTCAATGAAACAAATTATAAAAATTTTTGAGATGTCGGCTAATTTAATTTATGACACTAAAGTTAGCAGACGTCTTAAAATTTTTTAATTTTTTTTATTAATTAAATTACAATTAAAAAGATATTTGTAAAAAATTGCACTTATAATTTTTCAAGTTTTTTACAAGTGAAAATTTTTTTTTAATTGTTTAATTGAAATTTTTTCAATAAAAAATTTTTAAATATCGGCTTAACTTAATTTTCATATAAAATTGACTTTTAAATGATGAATTTTTATTTGAGGATTTTAGCTGGAAATTAATTTTTAAATGGTCATGAAATTACGTTTGTAATTGTAATTATTAATCCGGGTAATTGAAGAGATTAGCAACTGGACCGTATATGGTATCAAGTGATAAAGAATTTATTAATCAGACGTTGCTGCTGGCGATAGTTTAGAGTATACAGTGTATATAGGCTGAGTAATTGATTACTAAGCCCTCGATGTATGTACAGGGTACGGAATTACCACCCCGAGTTTGTTCTGTCGCAAATCATCCCTGTCACTATTCCAGAACAAAGGGATTTAATCAGATTACTCCAGATAATAAAATTAATATTGATGTTATTGTCTGCGCTATTTGTCTAAGTTAAATAAATAATTAAAAGTTGTTTTATTATTTAAACTACTGTCATTATTGTTATTTCAAACTATTATTATTTATTATATATTATTTAGGTAAATATATTATTTTTATGAGTAAATATTTGGGTTGTAAATTACTATTATTATTGTTGATAAATATATTTTAAGTTCTTCATTGTATTTAACTTTATTAAATAAGAGAAAAAAGGTTTCATTTTAATGGAAAATAATTTTTAGAAGGAAAAATTGCAACTTTAAAATTTTAAAGTGTATAATTTTCTAAAATTTTTGATTTGCGTCAAAAAATTAGAAAACATACTTTTTTTCAGATCTACAAGTTTTTAATTATTTTCTGTTTTTCGAATTTGTCAAATAAACGTTAATCAATGCAGTGATACTGGCAGCCAATAAAATTTAAAATATTATTTCTCACATTTAGAAAACTGTTTTGAAAAATTCTTTTATAAATATTTGACGATTAATTTTTTGCAGGTAATTCGGGTAGATAAAAAATAAATTAAGATTTGATAAATAATGATTAGAAGCTATTTATAAAGACAAGAAATTTTTAAATGTCGAGAGAAGAAATAAATTAAAAATTTATGAAATAAATATATACTAAATATTTATTAAATAACTATTGAAATGAATTTCTGAACCTAATATAATTTAATAAGTCAAATTTCCTAAGTTTGAAAATTATTTCTTTGAAGTTAATCAATAACTTTATTTTTGGATTTTTCTTCAATCTACCTTGAATTTTTTTGCATGAAATTGGATATTATTCATAAAATCAGCGTAAGTTTTATAAAATTAATACACAAGAAAAATTTTTAATAATTTAAATGTTAAAATTAATTTTAAGACCTGTCTGTTAAATTTTCACAATTACAAAAAATTTTTTACTGTGTACTTTTAGAATAAAAAATTATTTCAATAATTTATAGGTATTTTATTTTGCATGCAAAAGATTAAAAAAAAAAAAAAACCGTCAATTTTAAAATGATGAAATATTTTGCCTTAAAATTAGTGTCTTCTAGAATTACTAATTAGCATTTAAAAATTTTATGGTATTTCTTGAAAATATTTGTCTATTTTCTTAAATATTAAATTTTTAATTTCTGTAAGAGCAGAATAAATATAACTTACATTCATATATAAGAAACGTTTGACGCACTTGTATTGATCACTTTAAACTCTATTTATGACCGCCGTAAAAGATCACGATCTTATCAATTAAATAGAGTACTTGTCGTAAAAAAATAGAACCTGCATTTTATGCTGTGGGCGGTGACTATTATTTCATCCTTATAAAAGTCCAGGAATTAGTGAGTAGGTCGGTTTAACATAAATACTTGAGATTTGAATTTAAAATCGTCTCTGTTGTTGTTTCAGAGTGAATCTCATGTAATAACAATTGAAAATTCTGAATGAAGCTCTAATTTTTAGCCGCTCGTGAGTTTAAAAATAATCTTATGCTTTTTATTTCATTGTATAACTTTAAAATTACTAATTTGAAAAAATAATGACGTTTCTCTTGAAGACACTATTTTTTTTTATTATTAACTCAAGTGTAAATAAACAAAATTAATATTTTCCATTTTCTTCAAAGAATATTTAATATTGCTAACAGCTTAAATAGTCAAAGATACAAACAAATAAATAATAATAATAAAAAATTAAATAAATACAATAATAGAAGTGAAAATATATAATTAATAACAGTAATAACTTAAATAAATAATTGATATTTAAAAATTAATACAGTGACGTCTAAAAAAGATAAAAAATACAATATTTCTTAAATTTGCTTAATTATATTTGTCGCTTAATAAATTGGTTAGATCATTTTGTTTTGGAAGATGACAGTATAATAACATTTTTAAAATTCTTTTTTTTCACATTTTTATTACAAGAATATAGTATAAATCTGCAATCAATAATCATTCATACACATAGATACGCGCATATAAATAATGAATGTATGAGTGTCGAGATGTTTGTATGTGTGATATGTATAATTCATATGTATATGTAAATGTATATATAAGATGTAAAGTGTATGATTCTGTTTTTGCATATAGTTACATTATAGTTACATTCACGCAGGCCACAATAATTATAGCTTTCATCGTTTTCAGATATTATATATGCACATTTATATAAGTAAATACATGCGTTGATGGATTTATATGTAATTACTTATATATGTATATACCCGTGTAAAAAAAAATCATCTTAAAATTGTCTTAAGATTGTCGTTCGTTTAAAATCTTAAACGTGACACAAACTAAGACTATTTTAAGACTCTTTTAAGATACCAAAAAAAAAAAAAATTCCGAGATTTTTTAATAATTATTTTGATTTTTTTAAGACTATTTTGAGATTTTTTCAAGACGATTTTAAGATTTTTTTAAGACTATTTTAAGATTTAAGTTTTAAAATAATTTTTGAATAATCTTGAAAAATCTTAAAATAGTCTTAAAGAAATCTGAAAAAAAAATATTAAAAAATTTTTAGGCTATTTTCAAATGACATCACAGTGACAGCTCCGGAAAATTATTATGGAGCGTCTTTAAATTGTCTCAAAATTATCTTAAATTAGTCTTAAAAAAATCTTAACAAAAAATTTAGACTATTTTAAGATGGGTTAACAGCGACAGAGCCCCGGAACATTAAAACGGAACGTCTTAAAAAAAGTCTTAAAATTGTCAGATAATAATTTTTTAACAATTTTAAATTCAATTTAAAAACACCTTACTCAAAAATATTGCGGTTAGAAAGTCGTAAAATCATCTAAAAATTAATTTTCACAACAAATTCGAGAACAAAATTTTCAAAAATCTGCTCTCGGAATTTTTCTTTTGGCTTCTTAAAAGAGTCTTAAAATAGTCTTAGTTTGTGTCACGTTTAAGATCTTAAACGAACGACAATTTTAAGACAATTTTAAGACGATTTTTTTTTACCCGGGACGCCCATATATATTTCATATATTTATATTTTTTACGTTACTTTTACTGTTCTAATCATCTATTTAGATTATTGTATCGTGTTTATTTTATTTTTGTTCACTCAAAACATAATTGGCAAATGAGGTCTAATAAGTATTACAACAAAGCATTTTTGATGTTATATTGGCGCAGTTATCCTTCAATTAATATCTTCTTTATTTCTTCATTTTGTTGACTTACTCATATATAGTATATGCACAAAATCGTGCCACGTGGTTTTACGCGCATTGATATGTTGAATTTTTTTTTTTATACAATAAAGTTTATAACTCTTGAAAAAGCATGTACAGCAGCACTTCATTTAATAATATCTCATTTAGTCGGATAGTTCCCAACTATTTGCTGGAAAATAAATACATTTCATTAGGGAATACTCATTAATTAAGCTAGTTGTGAGAGTTACGGTAATTGAAGACGAGTTGATAGAGATATGTTACATATTTGGTGTAAATATGGATCTAAGTAGAACTTTTATATCATAATTAAAGACTGTTTAAAAAATTATAGTTTTTGATAAGTTTGAAAGTTAAAGTTAAAGAGATTTTTAACTCAGAAAATTTTTTTGTAAAGACTTTCGAATAAATAATTGTAAAAAAGTGTTAAGAATTTTGATTTAAAATGAACTTTTTTTTTTAATGTTATATCTTCATTAGAAATGTATTGTACTTGTTTCGGAGTTTCTAAAAGAATTGAGACTTTTATATATATTTACAAAAAACTAAGAGAAATTCATTCCAATTGAAAAATTATTTTTCAATTTTTCATCAATTCAAATTTTAAAAAACCCAGAAAATTAATTTTTTTATTAGTTTTCGTAATTAAAAATTTTAACTAAAAACTTGCTCAAACTTTGGAATCTTCTTAAATGTCGAATTTTATAACAACATTTCTTTTCAAATTTCATTGGAAGTTTTATAAAATTTTAATAAAATCTTTCAGTAAATCACGTCTTCAATTATAACGTCAGAAAATTAAAATAAAAGTGAATATATAATTTTTTACCTTTGTAATATATATCTCGATACATAGTCGGGCAATTTTTTACTCCCTAAAATTTAAAGAAAAAAATCATTAGTATTGAATTAGAAAATTTTTGTAAGCTCTATAGAAATAATTAAAATCATTTTTTACGTTACCTGCACACTAAAATCGATATTCGTTCGTACAGGACGATGGTGCAGTACTTGTGGTGGTCTGAAATTATTCCCCAATGGTGCTTTTGAGTGTCGCTTCTCACCTTGCATCAGAGTCCTTAGAGCGATGAGCTGAAATAAAATTTTAATTATAATCTAATAGAGGCAGATAGTCATATTTTTATATTTGAGTATAATGAATCAACCGATTTTGACCGGCCTGGTGGCAATCGACGTGATTTTCCAAGGTTAAAAGCTGATTAATTTTTGGGATTGATCGATAAAGCTAATTAGAAGTTATTCCAATAAAACGATTTTTCGAAAATTTTGTTTTTGAGATTTCTCAAAATCTAACCAACAGAGTTGGTTCAAATTCTCAGGAAATTTAATGACAATTGAACTCTTTGGAACGCTGTTTATTTCAATTGAATCCGATAAGCCGTTCAAAAGTTATAAGAGATTTACACACATACATTTAAAACATGGAGTAAAACCAATAACTTCCCGAATTTCAAAAAATTTTCAATTTTTCTTAGCGGGAAGTTAAACATTATCAATCCTTCAAGTTTTATTTCCGCCCAAGTACAATCAATAAAAATATAATAGTAATAAAAAGCAAATTCGTAGACAGTGTCAATTATTATTCATAGTAAAAGAAATTAAAATGTTTATGATAAACGTGAAAAATTCAAATAACTTTACAATATGTAAGCTGGAAGTAAATTATGGGCTACGACTGGGCGTTATTATAAATCCGCGGATAAAAAGTTTCTGCGAATCGCTCCAGAAATTTGACGCAGGTCTTTGAAAACTTTTATATAGGTCAATATATTCATAGTGTTTAATATAAATTTATGCTCAGTCGATGATAGTTTTGCAAGAATTGTTTTATGAAATTTAAAGAGGCTGTATAATAAATGTCATGGCCTGATAGATACTCATAAATTAATTCATGGATGTCTGTCATTTAAAAGTTTCATCAACTAATAGTCGGAGGATACACCGAGGACAAACGTAATAAGTCTATTACCACCGGATTTGAATATAATTTAATGTTGATTGCGATTAAATTTTCTAAAACTATTTGTGTTGAGTTGTGTACAAATCTTACATCAAGTTATAAATTTATATTAAGCAATTTGGCTTGATGAAACAACAATTTACGGAAAATCCTCATCCTAAAAGATTCATGAAAAATGTTTGCACAGAATTTTTAAAGTTTATAAGACATGTTGCTTTACAAATCTTAAATTTATTAATGAAAAATCAAATTAGGCAAGATTCATAATTATGGCGTACTAAATTTAATTAATTCTCTATTTAATTGCAACCCTTTCAGTATTATAAAAAAAATATTTCAATAAAAAAAAAATCTTCTACCAAGATCATTTTGAAATAGTTTTCGAACCAAGAATATTTTCTTGATTTACATCAAGCTCACATATTTTACGTTTGTTATTAGTTATTATATATGTTCATCTATGCATTGAGAATATTTTAATAAAATTATCATATTATTCTGGTACAAATCCGGAGACTCTGAGACGCTTATTATAAATTGACAGCAGATTTTCGTACTCAACTATTATTAAAAGATAGAAAAGATAAGTTCTCTTGAGTTTAAACCTGTTATAAATATAGTAAAACTGTTAGTCTATTTGAGAGATTTAACGAAGTTACTTGTGAAATATTTTCATCTATGACAGATTACTCAAAGTCACAGAGAATTTTAAATTAGTCAAAACTAAAAATACATTTATTTTTTTTGCTGGGCATCAATTTTTTTTATTTCACGCTTAAGAGATAAAATGTCAGTTTTGTAAAAAATAAGAGTATTAAGTAAACTGATGTTAATTTATTTGATTAACATCTGTATTTACATATAAAATTCAGTAGCTAATTACATTTTTTCTAAAAAGTTCTTCTAGCACTTTTACAATAGTTTAATTATTTCAACGTCGTTTCAAAAAAGAATAAAAAATATCTATGACGTTATTATTATTTTTACTAGATTAATCTCGTACTTATATTATATCACTAATATTATAACACTGTTAGAGTTATATAATTCGATGTCATGGTTCTTTTCTGTATTTTACTGTGAATTTTATTTTAATTTAACAAAAATTCACCTTTTCATGTTCTACATTTATACTATTGACTTTTAGTCAATCAAATATCTTGATTGAATGAAATCAAACAATTCAATATTACTGTGCTTCTTCGATAAAAAAAGACCATATCATTCGTTTTCATCAGCGCAAAATAAATATTTATAGAAGCAAATGAAGAAACATAAAAATAACTAAACGGGTACGAGGTATAGTTGTCTGTTAATTAACATCATTGCAAAATTTTTCGTTTAAATTTTACCCTGTATAGATAAATTCAGCAATATACTGTAAAAAATTTTGATGTAAAAATAGTCTTCGAGAACTTTATACAACCGTGTTAGTGTAAAATAACGGTGTCAAATTTATATAGTGTCCAGATAAAAATTGTACATTTTTCAATAAAAAATAAGTATGCGTGATAATTATCAATCATTCATACGCTACTACGTAAATCATTTTCTTTACAAAAATAATTGATATGGACTTGCCTTTTTTCTTAGTAAAATACATACTTCTTTACCATTAATGGTTATAGAGACTGTAGTACTCAATTGATTATGGAGGTGTAGCTAATGTTCTAGTATGCAATCGAGGAGAAGGGAATGGAACAATATACCAATGGATGATTGAACGATGTATCTATACAGGTTTTTATTATTGTTTGTGAATTTTTTTAACGTATGAGGCACCTAAAAATAATATTCTATGCTGCCTAGAACAATATTATCCTGTAAAAAATTTTTTAAACCCGGTGTAGTGTAAATGAGTCGGTGTAAAAAATTTTTGTGTGAAAATTACACCAAATACTGTATTAAATTTAAGGGATATGAATTTAATATTTTTACACTGTCAACCGTGGAAAAGTACAATTCATCGACTCTACGCTAAAAAATTTATAGTAATCTCCAATTGTCAAATTGTATGGGCAAAGCCATTGTATTTGTAATTATGTGTTTCACTTTTTTTGTGATTCTTAAGAAGAAATAATTAAAACGCGTGAAATTATTAAAAGAACATTTTTTTTTAATATTATTGATACGTAAATACGTTAGTCATGAATATATATATATATTTGTGAAATATATAAAATATCGATACTGCTATTCTAATACGTCGTGTCCCACAAAATTTGACAAGTTGATTTTTTTTTGAAAAATAAAATCATAACAATATTATGCAAACAATATTTAAAATTTAAAGGTCAATTAGTTTAATAACTATTTTTAAATAAAAATTTTCATTTGTAGAATCTCATTTAAGCTATGTTAAAAATTAACCATTTTTACCGTCTGCTGTAAAATTTTCTAAATGTGAGATACGACGTATTAGAATAGCAGTGTCGATACATAAAAAATTTATGTGAGTACTCAAATAAAAGGTATATCAATGAGTGTAACATCGAGATGAGCTTATATCTTATATCTTAGATAAAAATATCATTAGTGGACAAGATACCATGTTATTACTTAATTATTGACATTTTCAAAGATATAAGCTATCTTTATCATCGGAAATTGTAATCACTAAAAATGAATGATGGTAATCGTTACCCTAAACTTCTCAGCGTGTATATTGTTAAATTACTTACAGTGCGATGTATAATCGAGATAAATAATTGTAAAAATATTAAAGCGTTCCGCAAACTCTATTTATATAGATAATATTGATGTAGTTATTAATTCAGGATAAAAATTAAGTACTTGAAAATATTCAATGATCAATTGTAGCTCATTGAACAAAAATATATTGAATAACACGAAATACTGTAAAGAAAGTAGATTATACCGTGTTAAAATTACATAGATGGAAAATTTACACCGAGAGAATTTTACACCGTTATTTCACACTACTCGGCCGTAAAAAGTGCTCCGGGTCCAGTTTTACACCGAAATTTTTCACAGTGTAGAGGTGTGCAAATAATTCGATTCAAAAAACCGTATTGAATATTCGAAAAAATCGAATAGTTCGAACCTTCAAATCTTTTGAATTATTTGATATTTGATTCAACTATTGAATCGAATCTTACTGTTCAATGTGATTCGATTTGAACAAGATTCATAGATCTCTATTAGTAATAATATAAATACTGAAATGTAAATTATTTAAATAGTTAAATAATTTACGTTGATCACGATTTCATGAGTATTTTTACCTTTGATGTCAAAAACTCTAGTTATTCAGGTAAATAATGTACTTTTTCTCATGGCAATAGAAAATTTGTTTCCATTCGTTATTTTAAATAAAGGTAGAATAACGATTCAACGTATTTAAGTTCACAAAGTTCATTATTTCTCTGGCATCTACATTTCACCCTCCTCCTCCTCCTTCCGTATTACAATTTAAAAGAATTATTTAGGAAACTTCCATTTAAATAACTTGAATAAATTATTTACATTTAATTTGATAAATTACATTTCAAAGTTACAAAGGAAACCTTTTGCTATTTATTTTTATGTTGTATATAAGTTTGATAAAATCAAATATAAAACTTTGATGGTTATAAAATATTAAAATTTAATTTAATTAAACTTCACTCTCTGTAAATACTCAACATTGGTGTAAAGTTGGAATATTAATTAAAAATCTGTTTTCTCTAACTAAAATTAAATTATTTCTACCTCAAAATTTATGGTATTGAAAAAGGTGACCCTCATCATTATCAATATTTTTGAACGGAAAAGTGTTTTATGAACGAAATTTATCGCTTATGCGACAAGAATAATAACAAAGTAGTTGATTGTAATTCTCACCTGCTGCTTAGTAATATATATTGGTTTATTGAGAATAATCCATGTTGTGGTTTCATGACAGGCTGGCATAGTGATGGAGCCCTCGTACGTCATGTAGTGATTCGTGTCCGGTAAAAGATCTCGTACAGCGAAGCGAGTAATTTCCGTGACCTCTCCTGTGTAATTTTTGTATTGATCGATAACGTTATACTTTAAACTTTCCTCGCTAATTTATATGCATTCATCCATATCATATTACATATACATATAAGTATCTATATATACATACATACAGTGTAATATCTAAAAAAAATCGATCAAACATCCCCAGCCGTTCATTTTTAATGTTAATTTAAATAATAACTCACCTCCAAATTTAATTTCGTTCAATTTATCTGTGAACTGTCTTAGCTCGGGATTCGAGAGGTCTCCTAGCTAAAATAAATTATATTCAAATATTCATAGAATTAATTGAAAGTTTAAAATACATGTGAACCCTGGGTAAAACGAAATACTGCTTTAAGATTCAGAAAATACTTTTGTTCTTAAGTAGCAGTATTTTTACTTTATTAAGGACATTTTCGTTTAGGATTTTTGCGAAGAAAAGATTTTAGATTTTGTTTAAAAAAAAAATTTTTTTAAAATATCTCCAAACTATTTACAATAAATTTAATGATTTATTATCCTTATTATTATTTTTTTAAGTAAATTTTATTACTATGGTTAATACATAAAATCTTCATTGTAGAATTCTCTTTTCCCGGTTGATTTTTTAAGTAAATGAAGCTTCTTACCTGAAGTAACAACGAAACTGCAACAATTCCTTGAGGCCGATGAAGAGCATCGGAAAAATTACTGTAGAGTTGAGAATTAAATCCAAATATTTGAATCTGTAAAATAATTTCATCAGTTCTTTATTATAAAATGTGAATAAAGGACTTTATTGTTAAATAATATAAATGTTAGTCGCTCAATCGCAACTCCATTTAATCAGCGACTTATTTTCGGCTTGTAAAGCAAAATTAAAATAAAATTGGAGTGACGTTACATTTATTTTTTACTCTATTGTTAAGCGCCGCTCTTCAGCCGCTCTGATTTAATTTATTTTTACAATTTTCTGCTTCACCAATAAAATTGAATACTCTTTAAAAATGATCAAGTTATTATTGACAATCTGATTTTACAAACTAGATTTTATTAGATGTCGACATTCTCAGTTCCGAGGAAACTATTCTGAGAATGTGCGATACAATGTCGAGTATGCGTGTGTGTGCCCGATTGAAATCAATGCTAAATTTACATGTAAAAGTAATTAAGAGAAATTACTGTTTTTATTAAATTAATTGTTAAAAAATCATTTTTATTTTGTATGAGTGCAACCTGAATTTTATTTACAAACGTTTATTTTTTATGAAAAAAAAAAGTGATATCACGTTGTGAAGACAAATTGAAAGTGAAGTAGAAATAAATTAAATTCCACGAACTTATTGACATCGAACAATATGTATGTTTGCGAAACAAAATCCATCATTTTTCTATATCACCGAATTCGCGGCATTTATTTTATTTGAACTATAACTTCGAGTCTTTATTTTATATTACTTTTTTATAAAAAAAAAAAAAATACCATTTATAAATGGAGTACACATTTCGAATACGAACTTTAATATTACACTCGATAACTTTTTTTATTAAAAAAAAAAAAAAAAGAGAAAAAAAAATTATAATTATTCTTCAATAATTGATAAATTGTATAATTTTAATTAGCTTTATATTAGGTCAACAGATTCTAGTTTAAAATATTTGTGAAGTTCAATTTTTGGCTATTTATATTATATCGAATAAATATATTTACATGGCCTCGTTGTGGTTTAATATATATAAAGATTTAAGTTCAACAGCAAAATAAAATCAAATATTGCGCTCAGATATAACTAACTACAGCTATAATTACTTGCAAAATCTTAAATTAGTAAGCAGTTTAATTTTGATTGGTCGAGTACTTCGATAATTTATTAAAATTGGAAATCCAACATTATACTTCTTAGTAACTCAGCTTTTAATAAAAACATGAACTTGTAACTCTTTGTTTATTTTATAATTTTATTATACAATAACGCAAAATTTTTAACTATAAAAAATAATTGAAGTAAGAAATTTTTTGTAAATATCAGAATCACAGATTGTACGTTCAAGTAGTTTTGTTTTCCGGTAATAAAATTTCAAGTTGAAACGTAGTAATGCCATCTTTTCTACCGTAAATTAAATTTATTAGAGTTATCGTTTGAAAAGTTTCTTCCGGAAAATTTATACTGGAGAAACCCGAGAAACATAAGATGCCATAAAATTTATCAGAATTCCGGATAAAATGAGACATTATTGCAAAAAAGAAAATAAAAATACTTTTAGTGTTGAAAAACTTGCGTTCATAGTGTACAATTACTTCTTAAATTACATTTAGTTTTACTTTGAAAATTTTCAGATTTTATTGCCTCGATTATTTCCAATTTTTTATGATAGATAAAAAAATGAGCTGTTAAATTAGAGACTTAACTTGAATGAATTTTTACAAAAATTTTATTTTTATTCATCATTTATAACAGTAATTATTGTTATTATAGATTAGATGACGGTATGAATGTATTAGCTGCTGCATAAACTAATAGCTTACGGCGCGTTTACATGAGTATGAGTGTGAATAATACACGAGCTGTGAGGCAAGTACTGTTATTTACACGAGTACTCATGTGAATGTAGTATACGCAGAAGCGAGTGTAATAATTACGCCCGTTAGGTGTTCCTGTACGAAGAAAAAAATGAGTTTCCCCGTTTTTGCATAGGGAAAATTTCTATGTTGAGATGTTAATTGTCACACGCAGAAAAATTTTTTGTTAGAGCAACAAAAAATAAATTGTGACAACAAATTGTTATAATAAGTAATTCATATGTTCACTCAACATTATTATTTTGTTATTGTAACCGAATCTTTCAATTTTTTTAAAAAAATAGTTTTGTTGAAGTAACAAATCGATTTGTTTAGAGCAACGGAATAGCTTGTTCAAGTCACAAATTTTATTGATAAGAAAACTATTTTGTTATTGCAACAAAAAAATTTATTATAATAACAAAGCGATTTTGTTAAGACAACAAAATTAACTTCAGAGCAGTAAAAACTCATTTGTTATTGCAACTTAGTTGATCTTGTTAAATAAACTAGTTAATTCGTTATTGTAAGTAAATTCATTTGTTATGTTCACAGCATATTTTTTTGTTATCCCTGTTTTTGTTGTCCTAATAAATAATTTTTATGCGTGTTTTATGAGGTATCAATTACTTGAAAGAAAACGATAGCTTTTGGTGTGCCAAACGATAAATTTCGAATAATCCTGCAATTTATTCAAATAACATTGAGTAAATCAAAAATCACTTATTGCTATTGTCTTATATTTTCGCCCCAAAGATGTACATTTTAGTCACTAGTGAGTGTGACAGAAGCATGAAAATAATTGATAAAATATCGTGGATACATAAACGAAAGATTCAAAACTTTTAAAGTGACAGAATTGATAAAATTTTATGGTTAAACAGTAAAATATTCAAATTATTAATTAAAATCCCTTTGTAAAATGAATTTAAATCGATGTATATATTATGATATAATTCGGATATAATGGAAACAATAGTGATATTAATTAGAGATAAAGAGTTATTATAATAGACACTAAAGTATACCTCAGCGGGAAATGCATAGCCATCCACAGTATGTTCGCTTCCCAGATGATCACTCATCCCGTAATGCAAGTGAATTTCATGAAACTGATAGCGATAGCTCAGCGGCCCGCCTGATATATTGACGGGATGTTGTGTACCATTGTCTACGGAGAAAACTACTCCGTGGCCAGTATTTGCGAGAATTCCTCGTATCGCGTGTTTGTCTAAATGAAGCGGTTGAAGATTGCGATCGAAAAGTAGTCTCTTAGGTTCGAGATCTACCGGAGATTGTCTTCGTCCTTTATTACAAAGTGACCATTCTGGGTTAATTAAACCCCAAAACGCCGGCCCTGAATATAACACAAAAAGTTAAAAGTCATTATTTAGTAATTCAATTATTTTATATTTACATTTTATTCCAGTCACTCATTTAAATCGATTAATTTACTTTTAATTATCTTTTTATTTAAATTATTAACTATTCAACTCACCGGAAATTCCATCATACGTCCACCATTCTTCCCAACTGACTGGTCTTGATTCTGAAATATAAAATAACAACAGTAATGGATTAATTATGTCAATTATTGTCATATCTGCAGCCAATTATCTCTTTTTCTATTAAATTTTTGTTTTCATTTTATTTTTCATTTCGGAAAATTTATGAATATAATTAATTCTAAATAAAAAATTTGTAGGCATAGTTACAGTAATTTTTATTTATTCTCAAATTGCAAGACAAAAAAGATACATAGAATTCCGTAAGCTTTTAATAATTTTGTATGCGCTCCTGGCAAGAACATTAAGATCATTTTGGACTTAAATAATTTAATTCAATTTAATTTTATCCTAACATTTTCTCCTATATATTGTTTAGTTTATGCCTTTAACACATTCTTTAATATTGATAACAGCCTTGATGTTTATGTGATAAATAATATAGATTTTTTTGCTAAATTATGTTTGTCAAATAGTCACTGATTCAGTGTATCCTATTTAAATTAATTATTTAACAATCTAAGTTTGACTTTTAGCCCAAACATGGTCTTACTACTACTATTACTACACATAAGCTTTATTATAAAAATATAATTGTTATTTTTTTCCTTATGGAACCCGCTTATTGGCATTGCTGTAGGGTTCAATGTACTGTTAAATAAAATAAAATAAATGATTCATAAATCCATCATCAATAATAAAATGATATAAAAGGAAATTCGTCGATTTTTCAATTTTTTATAACTAAAATCGCCGGCAAGTATAGAGCTCAACATTTGAACAAATAATAATTTTTATTCATTTAAATAAATTTTACTTTACACAAGAACTTATTTATTTTCAATTATTCTTATCTTGCTACTCGAAAAATTCCTTGTTAACACAGTAAAAAATTTCGTCAACATGAATAAAATTTCTGACTTTTTAACATAAAAAACGCCATTTTCAAATATATTTTAGTGTCGATCTGAGGTAATATAGAAATGACTAACCAATTTTTCGATTTTCATATGAGAACAAAGGATTTTATTAGGCTGGAATAAAGTATCAATTCGACAAAGTAAATCTGAAAAGGAAACCTCAAAAAATTTTAATTAATTAATTCATTATTTAATTTATTTGAGTACGCCCATACATATGATATTGATACTAATAAAACCGAAGCCACTATATGCCTTCAATTTTTCGAATTTATGTTTAATTCACTCAATAATAATGCATAGTATAGCGGCATAACGATTTGTAGAGAATTTCAATTAAATTATTAATGACAGGTTAAATATGGATGCACGGTTAAATAGATGAGATAGTTAATTAAATTTTAAATGAAAGTAAGTACTTAAAACATTTATTGATTACAAAAGCAATGCGCTTTGTAAGCTAATAAACATTATACTTTGTTGATTAAAAAAAAAAAAAATAACATTTTAATTAACGACACTTGAATTAAAATTGAATTTATTTCAAGTGGATTTTTCAAACTAGAGCCGGATATAGTTATTAGTTAATGTTTGCTGGCTAATTACCTTCGATTAGCAACCAGTGATGGTGTTAATAATTTAAACCTATCAATTGAGTGAGGATATCAGTCGTAGATTTAATCCGCGAGCATAATATTCGTGACAAAATCTATGTCTGTGTTAAAATATCCGAAAGACCCTGTTTTATGCATAGTTTGGTCCGTTATTTTAGTTACTTATATTATATGAATATTTGATAGGTATTTTATAACCAGTAGGCCGGTTCACGAAATGTTAATTTGTATTTTCATACTTAACATATTTCATTTTTTTTAAATATCCAAAAATCTTTTTGATTTTTTTATTTCTAGGTCTTAATGTCTACACTTATAGAAGGATTTATTTGTATTAAATAATATTTGTTAATAGTTAACAAATCAATTATTAGAGACCACTTTTAGTATTGAACAAATATTTCTTAGTATTTAAAATTATTTGTTTGTATTTAATAAATCTGATATTCATTTATTAAAAATTAATAAATCTTTTTAAATACTAAGAAATATTTATTAAAGACTAAAAAATGAATTCTAATGATTTGTTGATTATTAAAAAATATTTTTAACTATAAACAAATCCTTCTAACAGTGTATAAATGGGCATATATAGTCTGCATTTTCTATAAATAATTTTTAATAAGTCCTGATATGATTTGATATGCTCCTCCAGGTGTGATAGTCTCTTTACAAGAAATTTAAGTTTCAAAATATTACTCATTTTTCTGACTCTTATAAGAAATATATCTGACATCAGTTTTTAATGTAATCCTCTACTAAATCGGTTTTTTTTTTTTTTTTTTTTTAATGTAACACTAATTAATACACACATTTTTTATAGAAAAAAAAATTAATTCAAAAATTTTTGTTAGAAATTTAGTAATATATAAAATTTTTTACTCTGTAATGAACTTGGTTTGAAAACACTCATCTACAATATTTTTATGTTATTTTTTAATTTTTTAATTTTGAGAAATCTCAGCACGTGGAATAGAATTCATCAAAGGATTAAGGTCAAAAGGTGCGATACACTCTTAAATAATTATTTTTATGAAAATTTTTAAACATATCTTTATTTCTTTCTTATTATTGTAGTTTTTTTTTAATGCAATAGTTATTTGATTTTATTTATCTAAATTTTGAGCAATATTTTTTTACTTTATCAAAAAATTTCTATGCACATGTTGAACTGGTGAATTTGACGAAAAATTTTTTACTCTGTAGATTATTTTTCATTTCATTATCTCAAATATTAATCATTAACGACGTAATTATACGTCACGTCTAATTATTTAATTATAATATTACGTAGAATGTAATATTATGAATAAATCATTTTACATTGTAAGAAGAAAAAACATTATTTTTATCTAATTTTGAAAATAAACTTTTGTATATATTAGAGAGTTTACATCCTGGTTCTTTCTATTAAAACCACCTCTTAAAATCGCTGAATCTTATAGAATAATTTTATTTCTGTGTAGTAATTCCTCTAATTAGTGCAGGCAATTAGAGAAACTTTTCGGTCATTGATACAATTATAGTTGTTGAAAAAAAAGATTAAAAAGTGTCTTGAACTTTCAAAACGAATATAAATTTTAGGTTTATAAGTTTTGACTAAAATTATTCAAAGATACTCCATAAAAAATTGATTTTGCGGTCGATTGAAACTTTTAAAATAACGTACAGTAAGATCCTTAAATTAGAATTTCTTTTTTTATCGAAATATTAAATCATGGACCTTTTCTTCCTGGTATTCATTTCGAGAACACAAAAATATTACAATTGTAAATATACCAGTGAGTATTATTATTAATTTAATAGTTTAATAAAGATTTATTATTTAAAATATATAAATATTCGATATTAAATTGAATTATTATTCTTTAATTAGTTTCATCTAATATCGATTCGTAGAACTGAACACAAGTTATGAATTATTTTTGCATGTAGTTGAAAAATCAAAAAATAGTTTAATATCACTATCATCAATAAAAAAAATTTTTTTTGTGATCTTTTTTTAAACAAAATGTTATTTTAATCATGAATAATTTTTTACAAAAATTTTATCATTTAAAAAAAAACGCTTAAAAATTTTTTTAAGAAAAACTTTTCCTGCGTCCAGAGAAACTAAGTTTTAAGGCCTTCAAACAAAAATGAAGAAAAAAATAAACTCATCTTACATGGTTTTTTAAACATTATCTTTTACCCTTCACTTTACTCTTTAATATTTAAAAAAGTGAATCAAGTAGACTACTGACATTCAAATTTAAGTTTTATATCTTTGAATATTAATAAAACATGAAGTTGAACGGGAAAACCATTAAACAGATATCAAAGATTTCCGGACGTACATTAGTTTGTAGTATATTTTATTTCATGGAAGATATGCTTTCCAACGATTTAAGTTTTATTGAAAATATATTTACTACATTGACTTTTCCGATGTAAAGATAGAAACTGGAGCTTTTAAAAAGTGTTATTGGCATCACCTGTAACATTTTCCGATCACGATCAGGTTCTGAATATAAATCGATGAGACACCAGAGAACATTCTGTGTAAGTCAGAGATATTAAATGACTTAGAAAAACATTTGAATTCATCGATTTATGCATAAAATATTGAAATTCATAAAAAAAATAAAGAACATGCTGCTTTTTTTTTTTTATTAAATAAGCCGATTCGAGATTTCTGTTACCATTTTTTTTAAGTAAATCCTCCTTTCAAATACGATTATTAGCAGTCGGATTATTCAAGAATTTTTTCTACTGTAGAATATTACTTCAATAAACATCGAAAATTGTTGCAAAAACATATTTATTACGAGGAAGGTTTGATCATAGTTCTAATTATTCTTTTATAAAAAATTTTTATTACTATTATTGCAATAATTACGAGAGCTATAATTCTCAGAAACAAAAAATAAACAGTAGCAGTTACCAGTTAAATTAAATACTGAAATTAAAACCTCAAGAAGGATAATTTCTAATTAATATAACTTTGTTCGTACTTAGATTTTTTATTATTCTTAATGGCGTTTAAGTCTTTGAATAATTCTCTTTTCAATTAATAGAAAAAGGAGTTAATACCTTGAATTATTTTTACTGGTGAGATTCAAATCAACACATTGAATTACTTTTTTTAGACGATGTTTTATTGATAAGTATGCACATAGGCGAGAATATTGAATATTAAAGAGAAAACTTTTAATTGAATATTTTATTCAACGAAATCACGGAAAAATTTTATTGCCAACTGAAATGTTTTAGTCGACAAAAAATACAGACACAAAATTTCCGTAATATAGAGAAAAAAATATCCTTAAAATGCTCATTAATAACAATACTTATACTTATACTTATTGTAGTTATATATATGGATTATGGATGCTGTGCCTTAGCAATATTGAAATAGCTTCTGGTAATACTGTGGAATGGAAACAGTTGCTGTTTAACATAGTAATAGCTTCAACAAGATCTTGAGAATTGGTGCAAAACTGTTATGACAAAGATATTCATAGCTTTTTGGAAAAAAAATTTTTACCGTAAGACACCGAATAAAAATGAATAGTTTATTAAGACACATTAATGCGCGTTATTATTTTATTTTCACCGTAAAATCAAAGCTTAATGTGATTCAATGTACCGGTATGTTGAAATAATAAGGGAAGAAATAATTTGTTTTTTACTTTTTATTATTTAGATTTATATTCAAATATTCTCACTCACTGCAATATTTTTAATTTGATTTTTGCAATATTATGGAAATGAATCGCTTTTAATATGAGCACTTTTTTTATGTAGAGAGGAAAAGATTTATGGAAAATATGACGTTAAAATAACGTTTTTAATAGTAAATATTTACTAATAATAATTTTAATAAATTCGGCTGCCCAATTTTAAAACACAGTAACTGCAAAATTTTTATACCTGATTTATTTTTAGTATTGCTGCATTTTTTATAACTTTTAAACCTTAACTTCAAGTATTTTTTCTTAAAAATATTTATATTTAAGTATTTTCTATTCATAAATCAAATTTGTCATTAATTTGGCGGGCAAACGTTTTTTTTAATAAGAAAAGTTGAAAAAAATTTTTAAATGTTAGTTACTGTGTTTTGAAATTGGGCAGCCGAATTACCCAAAAGTCTATTTGTATGTAGGTAAAGTTCTGAAAATGCATGAAGCTTAATAAATATAAGAGAAATCCACAAGAAATTTCCCATATGTATTTTTCAACTTGATCCTATAAGCGCAGGAATTATCCTTGAATATTATCGTAGTAGATCCTATAATCTAAAGTAATCAATTTTAATACCGTTAAGACTGAAGAAGAGAATATCCTTAACTTTATAAGTATATAATGCTCATGATTTCTTATTTCTTCTCCGCATAAAATTATTCTCAGATAACATGATAAATTAGCCTTAAGTATTTATGAATTTATAACAATGGAAGAAGAAATAAATTGGCTTAATCCATCTAAAATTTATAATAATCATAAATCATAATCAATAAATACGTAAAGTAATTCCAAGGAACACTAAACTGTTCAATGTTTGTTGATTTGTATGATCAATAACTGATAATTTTTTATTTCCAAAAAATGAAAAAAAAATATGACCATTCGTTGAATAATTTCCCTACCATAAATGATAAAGTGAATAACAAACCTATTACATTCATTAAAAAAGAATTTTATTTAAAAATTCTTTTGAAAATATTATTAAATTAAATAAAAACTTTTGGTTTAATTCAAACACGCCTTAACCTTTGTTATAATTTCTATTTAAGTTAACACTTGCTTTATCCTAATCTTTAATACAAATTTAGTTCACGGAAGTCTGGCTTTACCTTTTTTTTTGACAAATAATACTTTGAATACTTTTCCCGCACAAGTACCTAAATAGTTTTTTTTTTTCTATTTTCTATCTTCCCTCTCTACATTTTTACACAGATCTTTAAAATACTATCGCAATACTATAGCAAATGATAAGTTTTTGACATTGTTTCCTAAGGGACGCCAAAATCTACACTGTAAAAAAAAATTGTTACTTCTCTCAAGTTATACTTCTGCAGTTGGAATTAAAAAAATTTTGTTCGATACGTTGTGTGTAAAGTGAGAGATTTTGGTGGGCTTGAATTTGAAATACGAGCTTAAGTTTATGAAGCATTCACAATCGGATGAAGTACGTTTTTATACGGACGAGCCAAGTGAGATGTATTTATTGAGACAAATATATATTCTGATAATACTAGAAATGATGATGTTTAAATAGCGTTTTCCAATTACAATCTTGACTCAGTAATGTTACTTAATTCGTATTTTTCAATAAAAATTTCTGTATTGAAAAAAAAATCTACTTGATTCAAGAGAAATATTCTTGATCCAAGAAAGTTGTTTTGCACGGAACTTTACATCTTATTTCGAAGATTTCTTGCTTTGAAACCGGTTTTCTTAGCAAAGAAAAATATTAAATCTTCAATCAAAGATGATATTCATCTTGATGAAATACCATTCCCTTCAAAGAAGAATAACTTTGCTTTCCTTTAAGAATTTTATATTCCGAGTTCAAGGAAAAATTTCTTTATTAAAAAAAAGTTGAAAAAAAAAATTAGTTTGAACCTATTCTGTACCGTATTTTATATTGGGATAGAAAGTAAAATAAATCTGAGTATTTTTGGTAATCCTCAAAAAAGTCGATAAAATTTAGAATCAACGTTATTGCCTATTTTAATCCACTAGAAAAAATTTGGTACGCAAAGAACTTTTTTTCTGTTTCAAAAAATTTTTTTCCCTTGTGAAATTTTGAAGACATTTTGAATTAAAGTGAAATTTTGAAGACAAAATTTTTCTTGAATCAAGTTACATTATTTTTCAGTATATATTTCTCTCTGGTATTATAAAGTATTTTTATCGTTTTATAAATAATTTTCTATAAAACAATTTATTGAACGTAACAATATTATTTATAGCTGTGATTAAATATGGTCAATTACCTGAGCGTCATAAATAAAGATAAGGAGAAAAAGGTAAATGAAATAATGAGAATAATACTGAATAAACAATATTTAAACATGAAACTCACCTTTTATCAGAACAAATATAAAAACTCCCCAGATGCCCAAGTACACGGAGCTGTAGGGGGCCATCCCGAGTGATAATTTTATTAATTAAACATGATTTCTGGTTCTCCTGCGATTAAAATATAAAAAACAAAATAGTTAAATTTTATAATTATATCCATTTGTAATGTTTAACGTTTAACGTAAGTATTCATACAAATTACATAGAATTTTATTTAATAGTTCAAAGTAATCAAAATCTCATGCATTTAAAGCTCACTAACTAAAATAAACAAATTATGAATATTTAACCTGGCAGCTCAGTTCGTATGTACGTGACGAGTTAAAGATCAAAGTGCATTTATAAAAATGACTTTTTACTTCATAACTCTTTCAAAGAGCTTAAAGAACATATACAAGTGTCAAGTTTCAAGCGTGACCTTACGAGGTCAGTTAAATTAACTACTTGTCTCACGAAGATGCTTTTCTCTGCCGACACAATAATTACTATTCTAATTATAATTACAACTATAATGTTCAGTTCATCAGTTTAGAGCTAATTAAGGTGAATAATGGATAGACTATATGTTACAATGCATGCAATTAAATTATCGATCGACATATTGTGAAAGAGATAATAAAACTAATAACGTTTTTTCAAGAACTCATAATCTTATTCCTCGAGTGCCGAGTGTTTGTACTCCATTATCTCTTTTCAGAATAAATCAATTATCGGGTATTATTGAGAGTAAAAGCCCAATTAGTTTGCTGAAAGAAAATATTGAGCATTAATCAAGTTATGAGAGATAATATTGTCTTTAATAATGGTTGGTATTAATAGACGCGACGGCGAATAAAAAATCCTTTGTTGTATAGAGATATTAAAATTGAATTATGTTACCCATTCTTTATTTTTTATGTTCAAGAATCCTTATAAAGCTTTTAGTTTATAGTTCAATTTGACATGATTCTGTGCATATATTAATTTATGAAATTGTCGTTTTTTTTTTTTTTTTTAACTTATGCTTTAGAGAAATGTTTGTTAATAAAATGTTTAATTTATTGTACCCAGATCTTTTTTATGCAATAACAGAAAATTCGGCTGCCCAATTTCAAAACCCAGTAACTAACATTTTAAAATTTTTTCTACTTTTTCTTATTAAAAAAAAGTTTACCCGCCAAATTGATGAAAAATTTGATTTATGAATAGAAAATACTTGAATATAAATATTTTTAAGAAACAATATTTGAAATTAAGGTCTAAAAGTTATAAAAAATGCAGTAATACTAAAAAAAAATCAGGTACAAAAATTTTGCAGTTACTGTGTTTTAAAATTGGGCAGCCGAATTTTTACTGTGTATTTTACTTTTTTAAAAATTTTATTTGTTCTATATTTTAAATAATCTAATCAATCTTTGGCAGTTTGTGTAAAATATCACAGAGAAATTTTCATCTCAAAATTCTATACTGTATATTTAGCCACTCTGCATATTTACAACAGAATCAATTTTCAAATAAGGTGAGTTAATAGAGATCAAATCTGACAATTTAATCATTAAATTTAATTTTAATCATTAAATTTTTACAAAAAAAAAAAGATATAAAATATTAGGAATTATGGTTTTGTATATTATAGTGTATAGTAACTTGAAAAATTATTATTAAAATATTTTTTTAACTCTAGTCGTAAAATTTAGATTGTAAGTTTTTTAATTTATAAGTTTGATTTAATTAATATTAAATAAATATAGATTTCAAGATTTTAAATTTTAATTCTAAGGCTCAGATCTAAAAATCCAAAGAAAACAAGATCTACACATCAATTCCGACTTTCAATTTTCTTTTAATTGTTTTTGCAGCTTTGATACAGAAGGATAAAATGAAATTTAACTTACTGTAAGGGTGTCGAAGATAAATTGACTTTAAACCAATCATTTGAAAAAAAAGCTCGCTGAATGAGAAGTAGATGAGTTAGAAATCTATTTTTGAGGACAAAGATCTCACAAATTTGTCACCTCACTGACATTTGAAGAGCTTTGAATCAAAAATAAACTTCATAAATCATCAAAATTTTTTCTTTTAAAACATTTCAAGAAACTGATTGTATATTTTTGTAGCTAGTTAAAAAACAAATAATATTTACTTTTAAAAATTTGAATAGATTAGGTTCTATCAACAATAATTTATCTTTTAACATCGTATTCTACAGTATGTAAATGCTCTCTTTTAAATTCAAGCTCTTCATTAATTTTAATTGATAAATTAATTGAATTTTACGATGAAACAAGCTTCTCATGCAAAATATTTTTTTTTCAAACACCTACTAAGTGAAAATTGATTCTACTTTCATAAATATCATGAATAATTAACAAAACTATCTAAAAAGTTCTAAATAATTTAAATTTTATTCCTATTAAGTATTTATTAATTTAATATTAACTTAAAAAAAAATACAAATACAATTAATATCTTTAAAAAGTTCCAAATTTTAGCGAAAACAAAAATACATACATTATCTTGTTAACAATTTTTAACATTGTGCAAAAAAAATTCTGATTCAAGATGAATTTAAGATTGAAATTCATATTTTGACACAAATATAAATTAGTTTTAAGATCTATTCAAATTTGAAATTGATTTGTAGATAGAAATTAGCACGTCTGTAGAACTTTCGATTCTGCTTCAGAATTTTAATAAAGACTTAAAAATATTTTATGTATAAAATTTATCCTTAATTTTCTTAAATCTTTATTAGAATTCTGAAGCAGGATCGAAAGTTCAACAGGCATGCTAATTTCTAACAGCAAATTAATTCCAAATTTGAATTGATCTCAAAACTAATTCATATTTGTGTCAAAATATGAATTTCAATCTTAAATTAATTTTGAATTAGAATTTTTTTTCCACGGATGGTTCTTTATAATTCAATCGTCAATATTGTATTACTTCTCATTCATGATAATTTATCCATAGAATAATAGTGTTTATTATTTTATTGAGAGAAGATAGTAGAGTGTGGAAAGAAGATGATGGTCAGAAAGGAGGTTAGATATATTAGAATCACAAGGTGGTAGGTTGCTTTTATCTACTCGGCAAAGCATATATACAATATATATGTGTATGTGTCTATACCTATAAAGATACTGAGCTCTCATCTCATCTATATCTATGGATACTTGAGCCAATGTATTCTTAGGTTAGGAAAACTCAAGGAGGCTTATGTCGATCGATCGATTTGATCCCTCAAGTTACGCTTTCACAATTCAGTAGATATACATTATTATGCCTGTATATGTGTATATAGTGTAGTGAGGGCACTCAATTGGTGGGACAATGACTGAAGAATACTATCCACGTACATAAAGGTAAGTGTGAGGACTAGGTAAGTAAGTAAGATAAAGAAAGCTGATAAGAAAAAAGGAGATGAAACAGAGGGATAAAGAAAATGAATCTCTGGGCGCAGCTACTTTGTAACAATCTCATCCGAACGATACTGATTTATACTTTTTGCCAATGAAGAAATTGATTTTCATTTTTTATAATCTAACAGTGACAACATTTCATTATTATTTATACAAATAAATTAGCTTACTTAAAAAAAATTTTTGATAATGTAAAGTACCCAGTAGTTGAACAGGTAAAACGTATTTGACCCTACTTTCAATATATAAAGATGTAATTATTGGTTCAAATTAGTGATTATCATGAAAATATAAACAATTTTGAATTGATTGGTGCAAAATAGCGTTACACGATTACGTTATTAGGATAGTAAAAAAGTTTCGGTAAAAAAAATCGATTAGCTCGGTAAACAGGTGAAAATTTTCGTTAGAAATGCGTAACATGAAGAAATCAATAAGTGGCAATAAACTCGAGAGGCTTAAACAGTAATTCAAGTGGAAGGAAAACAAAATAAAATAAAAAGTAAATAAAATTACCCAGCAAAACATCAACCATTTATACTGCAATAACAAAATTAATCGAATAAATAAAAAATAAATTAGATTAAAAGAAAAAATCTAAACAAAAATCACAAAGCATGCGTTTAATAAAACAAAACGAAAAGCGTAGAACAATTATCCGGATATTTTAGCAACACAAAGTAGCGACACCTCAGCAGAAAAAGGGTTGTTCGACCTATAGATTTTTGTTTTAAATCGTACTGACCTAACACGGCGACGATGAACGCCGAAAAGCACAACTTCGCCACCGAGGAATGTTTATTAAGCGTTTGTTATTCAACAAACAAACTCACCACCGAACTTAAATTAAAGAAACCCAATCAACTGTGTACTGCATTCACTAAATAAATTGTCACAGTGTCGAGTGCACAGTGCCCTTTGACTTGGCAATAAAATAATTTGGGTAGATGAAACACGAAGGTGCAGCAAAGGAGCGACTGCTCTATGAGTAAAGTCTATTCGGGATCCCGCTGGATCTGCGCGTGCTCAGCTGGAGTACTCTCTCTATATCTCTTTTTTCTCTGTCACTGTTCCAGGTTTATCCACTGCTATCCTCGTCATTTCTTCACCTGGATGCTACTATACCTATTGCAGTTACTGGTGTGTCAATCCTCTCTTTCTTCCCAACATTTTCCTACCCCGTGTGGTCGCTCTATCTTTATTTTTATCCTTATCCTTATCCTTATATTCCTCTCTTTAACTTTACTCTCGCAAAAAGCACCCCCGACATCGACAACTTTTCTTTATAACTATATATACATATATACATATATACAGTACGTCTGTATTTGTAGAGAGTACGAGGAGGATGAGATCAGGATTCTACTTTCAAGAGATTCTTTCGCGCGTATGTCATCTGCGCTTGCGTTTTATCCTTCAGCTAATACAAATATAAATATAAATATAAATTCCAATTCCAATCAGAATTTTGTTTTGTTAAAAAAAAAAAATTTCTTTCATTAGTTGGCTTTGCTTTTAAATATTTTTACCATCATCCACCGGAGTATTATTGAGGATGCTTCCAGCAAACTTTAATCTGATTTCAAATTCAATGTTTATAATGCAAACTAAACCATTAATTCATGCTCGCAACTTATCAAAGGGAGAATAATCCATAAGCGACT